CAACCCCACCCTTGCTGGTGATTGCTGGCTTTGCATGACAACAGGGGCAATCATGCCTATGGCAGTTCCTATTAATTCTATCATAGACAATGATAATACATGCCAACCTGGATTTCCTTTTAAAGTACAGCCTATAGGCACTTTTACATCATGTCTTTTAGGCGCGATGCAGAATAATACCTATGATATTGATGTTGGAGTTACTTCCTTTGGAAATTGCTCAACAGTAAAAAATTATTCCTCGCCCACCCCATCTCTTTGTCCCCCCAATGGCACAGTTTTTATGTGTGGAGGAAACTCAGCCTTCCCCAGGCTTCCAGCGAATTGGACCAGTGGCTGTGTTCTTGCCTTATTACTCCCTGATATAACTATTGTCCCAGGAGATGAACCTCTACCCATTCCTAGCCTAGACACCTTAGTCAGGCCTTACCACTCCTTGCCAGCCTTGGAATAACAGCTGCTGTGGGCACAGGTACAGCTGGCTTAGGCACGGCTATACACTCTTACCGTCGCCTATCTCAACAACTTATAGATGATGTACAAACTCTATCAGGAACTATTAAAGATTTACAGGACCAAATAGACTCCCTGGCAGAAGTGGTCCTTCAAAACAGACGAGGCTTAGATTTGCTGACAGCTAACCAGGGAGGTATTTGCTTGGCCTTAGGGGAAAGATGCTGCTTTTATGCCAATAAATCAGGCATAGTACACACTAAAATTAAGCAGCTTCAAGAAGATCTAGAAAAGAGAAGAAGGGAACTATTTGAAAATCCCCTCTGGACTGGGCTTAATGGATTTTTACCCTACCTTCTTCCCTTATTAGGCCCTTTGTTGGGTTTGCTTTTAATGGTGTCCATAGGACCCTGCATTATAAACAGGCTGGTACAATTTATTAAAGAACAGATTAATATTTTGGCCTCTAAGCCCATACAGGTTCACTATCATTGTCTGGAGATGGAAGACCGTGCTGCCAACATTTAAAAGGATGTTCTACCCTTCTTTCAGGCTTATTTCTTAAGTTTACATCCCCACAGATCTCTCTTTCTTATATAAAAGTATAAGTAACAGCTCTGACCAACCATCTTCTGCCCTTGCCATAAGGGTTCGCTCCTCCATGGGCCCCTCCGCTTGGGGGAGGACTCACCCATGGAGTGATGACATTAGGCCATAATGACAGAGGGTGCAGGAAGGACTGCAGGAGGATGGATCCACGGATCCCAAAACCCAAGACCTCTGAGTGACACGCTCTGGTGCATGGCGGTTGGCATGCTCCCCCCTCAAAGCCGTCTCCTCCAAAAACATGCCAAGGCCACCACGAAATCTCCTAGTGAAGATGCTCGCTCAGATCAGGAGATATTCTAAGGCCTTCTAGAGGAACAGAGCCTCTATCACCCCCTAAAAACATGGCCGGTAAGGTATGGTCAAATATTTTATATAAGAAAGGGGGAAGATGTCAGGGACTAGAAGGAAATTCTCCTTCAAAGAATAGCCTGACACTTACAAGAAACAGCCCCCTGGGAGACATCCTGCCTGGGAGACACCCTGCAGCCATCTATCTCCCTGAGACATCCTGCGGCCACCTATCTTCCTGAAACCTATCTTCCTGAAACATCCTGCGGTTATCTCACCTTGTGCAGACATCCAGCAACTGCTGATAAGAGAGCTTCCCCATCCCCAGCATATAAATACCCCTGTGTGAACAATAAAAGTTTGCAGCTTGATCAGAACTTTTGTCTTGCTGTCACCTTTCGTGTCTCTTGTCCCTTCATTCCTCCCCATCTAGGTTCGCTGCCCACGTTGATGTGTCCTGCCGGACGGGACACGGCCATAGGCCCCACTACAGACAAGGACATGGAGGCTTAAGAGATGTTGAGGTGCTCACGGGGAGAGCAGCCCAGTTGGTATCAAGTATGACCAGAGGGTTTGGAGGGGCTGAACTGGAAGAGTGGACACATGCACAAGACAGCCATCTTTTTGCACAGGTAGCATGACTCTGAGTGGCCTTGGGCCAGTCTCACACTGGCTTCTCTTCCATGGAGTCTGCAAAACCAGTCAGGGAAGGCTGTGTGCAGGAGGCCAGGACAGAGCCCCACTGGAGAACAGGGAAAAGTGGGAGAATGATGACCTGTTTCCCTTCCCAGGATGGAACAGCAGAGGGGGCTCCTGTTATCGTTCGTGGGTGTACAGCTGCTGCTCATGGGGGCGTTCCACCAAAAGCATCACCTCCGTGACCTCACCTCCTTTCTGCGCCTCCTAACACAAGACAGGTCAGGGGTGAGAGAGGCTGCCCCTCGCTGACCCGTGGTTCTGAATGTGCCTCCTGAGCTCCAGCTCCTTTTGGTCCAGGTCTGCCCTCCAGGAACCTCTCAGCAGGATGTCTACTCCAACCTCAGCCAGATCCACCCTGTGGACTTCAGTGAGGATGATCTGCCAAACTGCCCCATCAGCTCACCCTGCATCAGTACGCGTTTGGCGGGCCTTCCAGACCCCCAGCCCCATCCCAGGCCATGGGGAGATAGTGGCAATCCCTGGGAGTCCGGCAGAGCCTGGAGGCAGAAAGCAGAGGATCTGGTGGCTGTGGGTGATGTTGTGGTTATCGAGCTGGATCTCCACAGATCACCCCAAAGCAGCGTCCATGAGCAACCATTACTTCTCAAGAGTTTATGTAGGTCAGGAATTTGGGGAAGGGCTCAGTTGGGTGGTTATGGTACAGGTTTTCCATTCAGTTGACGGCTGCAACGGCAATGTGCTGAAGCCCTGGGAGCTGGCTGAGTATCTCCCTCTTGACGTCCATTCTGCTCAACTCCAGGCCTCTCTGTGTCAACTCATCATATGGGCTAGTTTGGGCTTCCTGGAGGCATGGTGGCCTTAGAATGATTACTTCTTACATGGCAGCCGTAAGCTCCAAGAGCATGTATTTGCACAAACATGGTGGAAGATACGTAGCTTCTTGTGATCTAACCTCAAAAGTGACATGGTGTCACTTCTGCCATTCTACAGTGATTAAAGCCCATCTATCCTCAAGGTGTCAAGGACAGAGGCTACCCACCCCTTCAGGAGGAGGAATGTCAAATTCACATTGTAAGGAAGGCGTGATGGGTGAGAGATACTGTTGTGGACATCGGGAAAAGTCTGGAACAGGAAGGGAATGGGAGTCTGGGGTCCTCAAGGAGAGGGAAGTGAGAAAGTAAGAACTGGGGGAATCTGGGAGCCATCTGGAAGGAAACATCTGGGAGCTCAGGAAGCAGATTTCGAACTATAGGTCAACGGGGAAAAGCAACAGGCGATGAGCTTACTAGAGAATAGTGAAGAACAGTGAGGTGTGGGAGCCATGTGTGAGGCCTAAAGCAGCAAAAATAATCAGGAGGGGGGTGAAATAGGATGATGGAGGCATTGAGAGGCGTCAAGAAAAGCAAGACGGGCATTCTGAAGTCCTCATGCATGACTCAGAGCCCTCTGTATTGGCATAGTAGTTTCCCAGGACTCGCCAACAAAGTATCACAAACTGGGTGACGAGAGGAATTTATTCTCTAGCTATTCTGGAGAACAGAATTCTAAAATCAAGGTTTTAGTAAGGGTTGGTTCCTTTGGGAAGCTCTTGGGGAGGAACCATCCTACGCCTCTCTCCTACTTTAGGGTTGCTGGTAATCCTTGGCACTCCTTGATTTGTGGCATGTCACTCTACAATCTGACCATGGTTGTCTTCTCTCTGGGTCTTCACATGGCTTTCTTATATGAATACCAGTCACTGGGTTTAGGGCCCACTCTGATCCAATGCAGATGCATCTTAACAAATTAAAACTGCAAACACGCTCTTCAGTAAAGCCACATTGAAGTTACAGATGGACATGAAGTAAGGGGAGCTGTATTCAACCTGGAGCAACTGGGTTGTGGGGTGCTGGGATAGGTCCCTAAACATCCTGGGCTTCTGCATCTCTCAGATGGTCCTTTGAAAGTGATGTTCCCAGATAACCTGACAATGGAGAAGGCAGTGGAAAAGAACCCATTGGTGAGGCTGGGAGGTCAATACAAACCACCAGACTGCTGGACCTGGCACCACACGGCAGTGGTGGTACCCTACTATGGGCAAGCCCAGCACCTGCAGCAGCTTCTCTTCTACCTGCACCCCTTCCTGCAGCGCCAGCAACTGCATTATGCCATTTATGTAGTGAACCAGGTGAGACAGGGATGTGGAAGGACATGGGCAAAAGGGTAGAGGGTCTGGGCATGGGCTTGGAGAGTTGGGCTGAAGATGGCACTCCCTGAGGTGAGAATGTCTGAGTATCTAGGAGGCTGAATCTGGGTCAAGAAGATCTTGAATTGGGTGAATCTGGAGCCAGGACTGTGGGTTGGGACTGGACTTGCCAAGTCTGGGATCAGCTTGAATGGCTGGCTATCTGAGTCAAAGATTCAGTCCTGCTGAGCCTGGGGCTCTCTAGGACCAGAGCTGGCCAGGTTAGACAATAAACCTAGGGGGTAAATTGAAGCACTGGGATTGGGGGCAGTTGGATAGTAGTTTGACTCCCAGTTTTGTCTGTTACTAGCTGTGTGGTCTGAGTGTGGGAATCATTAATTTATTCAACACACTGGTATTCAGTAGAGCTGTGTATGAACCAGTTTCCCCTTCATGATAGGGATGATAATGACACTTCTGTCACTGGATTGTGGGAGGGATTAACCAGGTTAACGAAGGTAAAGCACTTAGGTCAAGGCCTAGCACACAGCAGGCACTCCACAGGTGATAACAATGATGGCGGTGATGATGATGACGACTGATGCTGTTGCTGCTGCCAACAACAGTGCTGATGGTGGCCGTGCCGATGGCCGTATGGAAGATGGTGATGGAGATGTGATGCTGATAGTGTTGACAGGAGTGATTGTGTTGATAGTGTTAAAGATGATGACATGACAGTGACAATACTGATGGTGGAAACAGTGAACATGATAAAGTGACAGTGATGGTGGTGCTGAAGATGGTCATGATTAAGGAGGTGATGAGGATGAAGGAAATGATGGAGGAGAGTCGAACCCTGTGGTGGTTCTTGGGCCTCAGACCCAGTCTCCATTTGGCAAGAACAGAAACCAAGACACAATCCCTCATCACCCCTCACCTCTGCCTCCTTCAGATGGCCCCTTGAAAATTATGGAACCTTGAAGATGGCCAAAGGAAAGCTGAGGCTGAAGTGACCGGTTGACTGGGGTAGGGGTGGGATACAAGAAAAGCTTCCCAGGAGAATAACTTGAACGGCATCTTCCTGGTCAAGTATGGGGTTTCCAGATCCGTAGTAGAAATGAGAAGGTATTCCAGGTGAGGAAATAGCCCTTGAGAAGGCTGGAGAGGACCAGTGTGGCAGGTGGAGGAACAGACCACTGCCTGACTGGGAGGGCAGCACCAAGCATCTGTGTCCACCCCAGGTAAACAACACCGCCTTCAACCGGGGCAAGCTACGCAATGTGGGGTTCCGGGAGGCCATGCAGGAGGAGAACTGGGACTGTGTCTTCTTCCATGATGTGAACCTACTCCCAGAGGATGATCGCAACATCTACACCTGTGACATCTTCCCTGCTCATGTGTCTGTGGCTATCAACAAGTTCAACTACAAGTAGGTAGACAAAGGGAGCTACTACTGTGAAGGACTGCTGTCCCTGTCTTTCCTTGCAGCTCACCCTGCCAGTCGGTACAGTGTGGTAGATGATGTCTGCCCTGTTCCCTGAAACTAAGGGTGGGAGGGGTGATGGGCCTGGGGAAACTCTTTGCAGATAGTGAAGAACCTTCCTCTTAGACATGGGTGTAAACTAGGGTGGAGTGATAACTGAAGAGGGGTCAGAAGATCTGCTTAATATAGTGACGGGCAGAGAGGGTTGTTACAGAATCAGGAGGACATGAGAGGAAGGTCTGCCTAAGGGTGAGGAAGGTTATTTTAAGGGTCTGAGGAAAAAAGATCATCAAGAAGGTCACAAGAGGTGCCAGATGATTCAGGGAATGAAGATATTCTGAGACTTACAGGGAAGCTAACCCCAGGCTTGAAAAGGAGATGAACGGAGACAAACACAGGGATCAGGAGATGTTATTGTGGAGGAGTGGAGAAAGGCTGACCCAGAAATGGACCTTGGAGACCCTTGCCAGCAGGGCCTCTGTGACCTGAAATTCCTGTGCTTCCAACTCTCTGCCTCCGAAGGCTGCCCTACCAAGGCTACCTTGGAGGGGTATTTGCCCTGCGCCCCATTCACTACCTGAGGATAAATGGCTTCTCCAATGAGTACTGGAACTGGGATGATGAGGACGACAACATTGCTACCAGGTGAGGAGCCTGAGGGTCCCACTGTGTGGGGACAGGATTCCCTAGACTGAGGCTGGCTTGGGTTTCCCAGACTGGGGAGACGTGGCATGGGGATGGTCAGAGGAGGCAAATGTATGATGTCCCTGCTCTTCCTCCTGTCCCCGAAAGGGTAAAACTAAGTGGGATGCTCCTGTCATGGCCCTACCTACTCTTTGGCTGCTACCACATGCTAGAGGAGGGGCAGGATCATAGCCAGAAGCAGAGCGTCTGGAGGTGAGTCAGTGTGGAGGCGTGGTGGTCAGCCTTGGGCTCCCTGAAGCCTGGGCTTCCATGGCTGCCCCTTGCCACCCTCAGACTTGGGTCTTCGGGCCTGGATCCACCAAAGGTGGAGACACGATGGCATCAACTCACTGGGCTACAGGCTGCTGGCCAAGGAACGGCATCCCCTCTATACCAACTTCACTGTGGACATCAACTTCCAAAACCCAGAAGCCCCAGTGCCAAACAGAGGTATCTGGAGGCTGAAAGAGAGCTTCTGAGGCCAGGTTTCGGGGCATCCTTCCCACCCACCCCACCTGATTTTTTAATAAAGGAATTCATTTTATTGGTGTCTCCTGTCTGCCATCCCTAATTCCCATCCATCCCTCCTCTCTTTTATCCAACCATGCCTAGGAGGTACCTCTAGCAGACATTAATGACACAGGGAAGGCTTCCCTTGGAGTGAACGCACTGAAAATGGGAATCAGAATTTTGTGTTAAATAGAGGAAGCTCTGACAGGGACTCCAGGTTGAATAACAGAATTCTACTTCGGAAAATATCTGCATTTCAGATTTAATGAAATTCCACGCTTAGTGAATTATAAGAACAAACATCTGTGGAATACTTATAGTGGGCAGCCACCACTTTAATGCTTGGCTTCACATAATTAATGCAAGTAATTCACAAAGGAAGCCATGAGTTAAGGACTACTAATGGGAGTATCCATTGTGTACTTGAGGTAATAATGGTATGAAGAGGTTAAGTCACTTGTCACCAAGTTGGTGAGACACTGAATGGGGATATACAGTGCCCAGGCAGGCTGGCTCCAGAACCCATAAGCCTAACTCTGCTATGCCCAAGCCTTGTGCTAATTCTTGGAATGATTTGGGCTGGGGGAAGGCAGTATTTTTTTTGTTGTTAAATCACATAATATGAAATTCTCTATTTCATAATATGAAATTCTCTATTTCACCATTCCCATCACTGCCCAATATTAGAGGTGTCATGGAGAGAAGGATAGTTTAATAGTGAGTCAAGATACTGGTATCAGGCAGCCTGGGTCAAATCTGAGCTTTTCTCATGAATAGATTTGTGGTCTTAGTAAGATTTGTATCAAATTCTCTAGGCCTAGGTATCTTCAGCTATAAAATGGAATCTGTCAGGGTAGATTACCTCCTAATGGCCAAGAAGAATGAATGAGTTAATTAACACAAGCTGCTTATAATAGTAGCTTCTTCTTCTGAAAACTCAACTCTGGACTCCTCAATCTTACTTTAAGACCCTTGCAGGAAGAGTTATTCATCTCTCAGTTCTTGAAGCCCACAGATCTTTTCACAAAGCTCTGGACATGGCTCACATGACAGGAAACTTCGTCTTTCTCCCTGGGACCCAGCAACTCCAAAGCCATCACCCAGCCACCCTCCAGATTCTTCAGTCTCTGATCCAACAGGCACTAAGTGCCAAAGGCTTGTCCCAAGAATTGCCAGGAAGAGGCAATAGAGAATTAACAGAAGTCAGAGATTGAGAGGGAGATGAGCAGAATGGACAGAGAGGCCTGGGGAGGAAAGGGACAGAGAAAGGAACAAAGGGGCTATGAACCATGGGCCCTACAGGAGCGAGGTATAAGTCAGAGGTGTGGGCAACGTTCTGGAAGAGGACGGAGGAGGCTGTCCCAGGGTGTGTTTGTATGTGTGTATGGGGGGCGGGGGTAGAGAGGACCGTGTGAGGAGTGCATACCTGCTGGAGCTAAGGATCCAGGCAGGCTCAGGGACACAGTCCCATCATCATCCACCAAGCACTTGATCGCTCCAGGAAAGTCCAAGGGCTTAATATACTTCAGTTTGCTTCTCACTCATGGAATAAGGTACAAACTTGCTTAGTGCATGCACAGACCTGGACCTGCTATTTCCCTCTTCAGAAGGGAATACAAGAGTTTTTGTTTCGTTTTAAATATTTATTTGTTTTGGGTGGACACTTTTTTTTTTTTTTTTTTACGTGTGCTAGGCGAGCGTGCTACCACTTGAACCACATCCCCCAGCCCATTTTAATACTCTCCAGGTGCAGTGGTTTGGAAGGCAGGAGGATCGCAAGTTCAAAGCTGGCCTCAGCAACTTAGTGGGACCCTGTCTCAAAATGGTCTGGGGATGTGGCTCAGTGGTTGAGTGCCCCTGGGTTCAATCCTGATACCAAAATAAACAAATAAATGAAACTATAATATGGGTATGATTACAAGCCTAGTAATGTGTGGGTACCATCTGCTGCAAACATCTTCTGTAAAGAGCCAGAAAAACGAACATGTTCAGCATAGAGCCACAGGGCTCTGCCACATCTGCTGAGTTCTGCCAGTGGACTCAGCAGCCATAGGCAGGACATAAGCAGATGAGCACACTACGCTCCAATAAGACTTTTAAAAAAGCAGAACTGTTGGTTAGTAGGTAGGCCAGATTTGGCCAATGGCCACAATCTACTGACTCCTGGTGTATACGACTAGGTGCCTTAATAAATAATGCCAGCAAATCCAGAGAAAAAGGCTGGTTCTGGTTATCTGTGGAGACACACACCACAGATGGTAGAGACGGAAGGAAGAGGGAGTAGAGAGCTGAGCTAATATGAAAGAAAAGTCATAATATGAAGCTCACTACGCAGTATAATATCTGGGTTGCGCTGAGGCAGCCACCATAGTCCTTGAGTCACGTTCCTGGCGACAAAAACACTCAGGGTCACTCCCAGGGGAACTGGGCAGCACGAAATTACCACACGAGACAGAGATACCTTTTTCTTTGGGGTTGCTGTGACGGCTCCTCTGACCTTAAGGGTCCACAGAAAGAGAGAACGAGCCAGGCTGACCCCTTTTATCGAAGAGAAGCCATTCAAATGAGGAAGGGGTCAGGTTTCAGGGGACTGAGTCTAGCTTTGTGATGTCCACTGTCAGCAGGTTGACTGACCTCTAGGAAGGCCACACCCAAGGGCAGAGCAAGAGAAGGGGACACACAAAGGGCGTTTCCATGGAACATTCTATCCCAAACAGGGAAAGGGGGTAATATCACAAAGGAACAGGTGAGCGTAGCTGGACCCATGGGGCTGCAGGAAGGCGCGCCTACGCATGAAGACACATTTGGCGACATTTTTAAGACCCTCAAGATCGGGGGCACAGTCTACAGCCACTTTGATGTAGCCAGATCACGCAAAGTGACTGACAGGGCCTCACCAATCAGGAAAATGGTGGCCACAAGGCGTGGCAGCCTCCCACATCCTTGGGTGCAAATTCTATGACTCTGCAGCAAGAATGTGAGCAAAACACAGAGTACTGAGAAACAATTGATATAGAGTGACCGGACTGCCTTCAGCAGGGGCTGCAGGACCCCTCCAAGACGGGACGGTGTGCAGTTTTTAAGGGAATGAAGTCCTCTGTTCTCTCTTTTAAGGGAATGAAGTCCTCTGTTCTCCTCTGGATTTCCCTGTCTCCCCCACAAGCTGGTTTACTGCCCTCTGGATAGCCCCCCGCAACATCCCTTGTGAGGGAAGGATATCCTGGTTGACAGGGTGGCTGGACAGTTTCACTGGTGACGCTGGCACTTACCTGAAAGCCACAGTGCCCCTTGAGGGGTCGTAACTAGCTGTAGCTGGGGGTCTTGATGTGCCAGACCCCACTTTTCTGATACTTATCTGTTTTAGTTAGGTCCCCAGGATTTTAAGTAATAATTCCCAAGAGGTTAAGTTCTTGCAGCCTGGGGAAGGTTAGGCATTCCAGATCTCATTTCCCAGCTCTTGCCTGTTTAGATAGGTTCTCTGCAGTTTCACTTTTATGGCATCTGGATTTTTCTTGGTGCACAGGCCTAAATTCTGTTCTTCATTGTCCTTTCTCTCTACCCACCTGTTCACGGCTAACCTGCTAACAATATAATAAATTAATAATCGTTGATGGCACAATTCCATGATAGAGATTTTCAAAAGGGAATAAATTCAATTAACACAAATTAGACTCTTTTTAAAAAAATAATTATGATCTACTCCTGTTTTGCAGTAAATTTTACAGCAAACCCCACTGAACTACAGGAATACATACACATAAACATATATAAACATAAATATGTAGGCTGATATATATAGCATACACGTATACATACATATATAATATATATGCACACATTACTGACCCATGTACATACCTTGTCCTATCAGTCACTTTGCTGACACTCTATTTTTATTTTTATTTATTATTGTTTGTTTATTTTTTTGGTCCTGGGGATTACAGAGAAGCTTTTTACCACTGAGCTACATCCCCGACCCATTTTATCTTTTATTTTGAGACACAGTCTCACTAAGTTGTTTAGGGCCTCGCTAAGTTTCTGAGGCTGGTCTCAAATTTGTGGTCTTCTGCCTCAGCCTCCTGAGTAGCTGGGATGATAGGAATGTGCCACTGCACCTGGCTACTGGCACTTTAGAAAAACTGATATCCCACAATAAATGCAATTATAAATGAAAAAATTTTTTAAAACTTTTCCACCAAATAATCTGGTAACAAGGTGTCTTGTACCATTTTCTATAGAAAGTCTGTTCTCAACATATTAGTCTTATTTCTTCCTGAGAGAAAATTCATAATCCTTAACAAGACCACACATTTCTAATTTTTTTCTAAAGCATTAATACTATTAATGTATAATTGGATCTCTATGTCTGCTTAGTCACATAACTCAGGGAGTACATTTTGGCTAGAGATATGCTGATGGATTAGGAATTGATTTCTTGGTAAAGCCTTTCACAGAGTAACTGCATCTGTAAGCACTGTCTCTGGTCTGGGTTGCCTGGTGTTTATTGAAATTTGACCTGTTGTTGAAGGCCTTCCCACATTCAGAACACACATAAGGCCTTTCCCCTGTGTGAATTCGCTGATGTACCTTGAGCTGTGGTTTCTTACTGAACAATTTTCCACAGTCACAGCATTCATAAGGCTTCTCTCCAATATGAGTTCCTTGATGGGTAGTCAACTCCGATTTACGGAGGAAGGCCTTTCCACATTTGTGACAGACCAAAGGTCTCTCTCTAGTGTGAGTTATCTGATGTTTGTGGAAATTTGACCTGCCGTTGAAAGCCTTACCACATTCAGTGCACACATAGGGTTTCTCCCCTGTGTGAATTCGCTGGTGCTCTCTGAATTGGGACTTGGATGTGAAGGCTTTCCCACAGTCGTTGCATTTGTGAGGCTTCTCTCCTGTGTGAGTTCTCTGGTGCATGCTGAGGATTGACTTCTGGTTGAAGGCCTTCCCACATTCACTGCAAACATGGTGTCTTTCTCCAGTATGAATTTTCTGGTGTATGTTAAGGTGTGACTTTTGGGTGAAGGTTTTTCCACAGTCACTACATTCATACGGTTTCTCCCCAGTGTGAATTCGATGATGTATATCAAGCTGTGACTTAGAAATGAAGGATTTCCCACAGTTACAGCACTGATAAGGCTTCTCTCCAGTGTGGCTTCTCTGATGAACAGTCAAGTGTGCCTTCTGGATGAAGGCCTGCCCGCAGTCAACACACACATAGGCCTTCTGCCCTGAATGGATTCTCTGGTGCAGGTTGAGTGTCGACTTCTGGGTGAAGGCTTTTCCACACTCGCTGCATGCATACTGCCTCTCGCCAGTATGAATTTTCTGATGTCCGCTGAGGGTGGAGTTCTGGGAGAAACCTTTGCCACATTCGCTGCATTCATAGAGTTTTTCTCTACTGTGAGTTCTCTGATGCCTGAAGAGAGATAACATCTGGGAAAAGGCTTTTCCACATTCACGGCATTTATATGGCTTCTTTCTACTGTGAGTCCTCTGGTGGGTAACCAATTCTGATTTCTGAATGAAGACATTCCCACATTCCTTACAGATATAGGGTGAGCTCCCTGTGTGGCCTGTCACATATACACTGAGTTTTGGATGTGGGGTAAACGCATTCCCAAATTCGCTGCATTTATGAAGCTTTTCCACACTGCAAGTTCTCTGCTGGGTAAAGATGTGTGGCTTCTGGGTGAATTCCTCCCCACACTCAGTACATTCACCTGGTTTCCCCCAAAGATGAATCTGATGTTGCATAAGTGGTTGTTTACGGCTGAGAACTTTTCCACACTGATTACCTGTGCATAAGTTCTCTTCTGTAGGAACCGTCTTGCAGCTGGCATTAGAAGAGCTATGAATGAGCAGCTGACCAGAGCCACTGATGTCTTCAGGCTGTTTTGTGACACTGCTTTGATTTTGAACATTTGCTTCTAGGTTAGGTTTCAAACGTTTTACAAACGAGCACCACTTCAGAGGTCTCTTTTGTGAAGGAACAAGGAGAAGCCTCAAGAGAATGATGTTCCCGGGGTCCTTATGTACACAATTGCTCGCGATGCTCAATGTTTTCTTGCTGATGAAGGCCCCATGACTCAGGTGGTGTATTTGATTTTGCTGATCTCTCTGTAAGGTCAGCATCCTGCCACAATTCTTCTAAAATGGAACACCCTGAACCACTTCTTGTGATTTCACTCACCATATCATTTTGAAATGAAGCTTTCTCAGAAACTTCCTGTTGTAGGATATCAAGCCCAAATTCTTCTGGGAGGAGAAACAGAAGATGAAACAGGCATGACAACAGGATAGAGGAGGGATCACATGGAGTTGATTGTAACGGAACATGAGGAAATCTGAGTCATGTAAACATAATGCTGATGATGGTGACAGGGAGTAGAACACTCACTCAGCCCTAAGTACACACCAAACTCTGATCTACACAGCACTCACCATGTGCCAAGCAGCATCTGATACATGATGAAGAAATGGAAGTATAGATGCTTACATAACTGGCAACAGCACTTTGCTATCTGTGGGACCACTGGATTTAGACAAAGGCAACCTGACTGACCTTACGTAGGCTACCTAGACACCCAAACCTCGGAGAGTGAGTAAGGGGTGACAGCCAGGGCTGAAGGAGGGAGCCCAGAGTGCAGGACTTCCGTGGTTGTGGAGAAATGCCTATTCATAGCCTTTGTCCATTTTAAAAACAAGTTTCCTCTTTTTGTTTCCTCTTGCATTCCTGATAGCAACTTTACCCATATGTTTGCTTCATTTATTTTGGTGATCTTACACTCTTACATCCCCAGGCACAGCTCTGGAACATTTTTAACTTTTCACTTCATGTAGATCATACAAATCTTGCCAAACCTGATAATATTTAAATTTCTACCAAAAACATCCAACATAAACTACCAGAACTGTGCGAAAAAGCTTTTCCATAACTTTTTAATGTATCTTACCAATGTTGAAACAAAAGAAATCCAGTTTACTCCCAAATCTAAGCGTATACTCATATCCTCCACCTCCACTAAGCCTTCATCCTCTGCTTCTTCAAAACTGCTGCACGGAGCAGTGACTCATACTGTGCCTTGAAAATTAGCTCCCAAGGTCACTTCACCTCTCTTTTCTCTGAACTTAAAAAAAAAAAAAAGTTACTCTGTACCCCTCCACTTGGATACTTTTATTCCAAGTAGCCTTCTCCTAAACAGGCTGCTGCTTCTACAACTCACGCCATCGTCCTCTCATTACATCTCCTTTTCAATTTACCTCAGCAGATGTTTAAAATGTTCTTCTCAAATACAACAAAACACTCTTTTTTGTCTTCAGAAATTCACCAATTCTTGTACCCTAAATGGTGTCCTCAGGCTTAGCATCGATGTTATGAAAGGTAGAGAGAACACAAAATACTCAGCGGACTGATGCAAAGTAGATTATCGACATGGCAGACATTAAGGAAAGTATGGAAACAACGATCAGAGCATGAATAATGGAAATATTCAGGTGTATTTTTAGACTAGAAATATGGGCCATGATGACAATGTCATGAAGAGTTTGTTAATCCTATAGAGAAAGAAATAACAACATGTTTGCATCAAAATCTATTGGGAAAAAAACAGCAATGTTTGATGTGATAAAATCTGTCAGAAACATCTTGACTGAACTCAAGAAAGGGCAGAATGAGAAAATAGGGAGCTGATTTATACAGATACCACCAGGATTAAGAAAAAGAGCCATGTAGACAGCAGGGTGTGGTGATGCACACCTGTAATCCCAGCCACTGGGAGGCGGAAGCGTGGGATTGCAAGTCCAAGGCCAGCCTCAGCATTACGTGAGGTCCTGGGGATGTAGCTCAGTGATAAATCGCCCTTGGGTTCAATTCCCAGAACCAAAAACAAAAAACCCAAACAAACTAACAAAGAAAAAAGAGCCGTGTAAATTGTGTAGTCAACAAGAAAAAGAGATAAGAATTCCAAAGTAATAAATTAGAAGACTGAGAGAAGAGCCCAGAAATGGAAGAATCTGACAAAATTTGTCAGATTATAAGAAGTTCTAGTTTGGATGAGGATAATTCAAATTTCTGATCTTCCAAAATTAAGGAAGTGAGTCATGTACCCTGAAGATCACCTCTGAGCTGGGAGTGAGGTACCCCGCTTTGAGAAGGACACAGGATTGGGTGTGGCTTCTTGGGTATTATGTGGTGCACATCATTTCTTTATTTTTGTAGTACTGGGAACTGAACCCAGGGGTGCTATACCACCAAACTACATCCCCATTCCTTTTTATTTTTTGAGACAGGGCCTCACTAAGTAGCCAAGGCTGGCCTTGAACATGCAGTCGTCCTGCCTCAGCCTCCCAAGCTGCTGGGATTACAGGTGTGTGTCACTACACCCAGGGGCTCTTTGGTTTTGGAGGGCATCAATAAAACTTTGCAGTCACTCATTAGCTAAGTCAGCGTTTTCCACTGGGCATGAAGCAGTATTTGGAGGTACCCAAAAGGAATGAAAAATCACCAAGGAAAAAACCATGACATACTCTGATATGTGTTCTACAAGGGGGAGAAAGAAAATCTCACAGAAGCCCATCCAAGATCCCCAAGTCAGTGGTGCTCACCCACTGAGAAGAGGTGACTATAGATCTCCAGCATCACGTCCTTGTACAGGTGTCTCTGGGCAGGGTCTAGTTGCTGCCACTCCTCCTTGGTGAAGTCCATTGTCACATCCTCAAAGGACACCAATCTCTGTAACAAGATATCCCAGCTCACTGTAAATTATTCATCATTAGTAATGTAGAAGTTACACATAAAGATGTGTTTCTGATGATTTTTCACAATGACCCATCATTAGCCTTCCCACTAAATATCTACTTCATATTGTCTCTTGGGAGATTAAAAAATTTATATGAATATCCTGCCATCCATTGTGCAGTCTTGAACGGAAATGGATTATCTGTAAAAATCTAACTAACGAGGATAACCAGCATGACGTTTATTATATGCCAGCTGTAGATGTGCTGGGTTCTGGGGGCTTGATAAAATTACCTAAGCTACTCTTTCAGCAGTTCAGTGATTTGCACAACAGGAAGTAAACAGGCTCAACCACGGGGTTGCTGTAGCAAGACACACCCATTTTTGTGATTGAGCGCCTCAGCACCCAGCTGGGGAGTGTAACTCAGTCACCTGTAAGGTTGGCCTCCCACAAGTCCCCTTATAAGAACAAACATGAGAGATGAAGATTATGAGGATACAATGAGAAGATGGCATCTACAATTGGGAAGTGGGCTATTCCCAGACACCGGGTCTGCTGTGCCTTTATCTTGGACTCCCCAGCCTCTAGAACCCACAGGATAAATGTTGTTCCAGCTGTTAGGGCGTCCTGTTGTAGCAACCTGAACTACAGACAGTGCTGAGACCAAAGTGTTCCAGACCACTCCTCTCAGCTGCTGATGCTCTCACTCATGCACAGACATGCACACACATCTGTCATGGAAGCGTATGAGCTGGTAGAATGGTTTTAAAAACAACAACAACAACAACAACAAAACCAAACAAGAAAATGTAATAGCTTTATAAGGATAATTTAATATTTACAAGACAATTGGTTCCATCAAAATATTAGGTCATACCATATAATGATTTAGTATTCTTTAGTGTTACATAAATTAAATGTCATCAAAATGACAACACCAAGAGAATTTCTAAACTTAATTCCCAGTATCAAGAGAAAAAATTAAAAAATGATAAAAGAAAGCAAATGATGGAAGTGACGTGTATGAACCCTTTAAAATGGTGAACAAGCATCTGAATAACGTAACAGAAATTCTAGAAGGAGACGCCAGGCACAATACCATGTGTATTACAATCCCAGTGACTGGGGAGGCTGAGGCAGGACGACCCCAAGTTCTAGGCCAGCCTTGGCAACTTGGTGATACCCTTTCTCAAAAAATAAAAAGGGACTGGGGGTTGTAGCTCAGTGGTAGAGTGCCCCAGAGTTCAATCACCATACTTCAAAAAAAAAGAGAGAAAAAGTGTAGGAAGGGCAACAGTATGGAAGGCTTTAGGAAAACAACAATGATTTCCAATCTATAATGTGAACCCAGTTAAAGATAAATATAATGGTAAAATAAATAATTTCTATGACATCTTTGAGTACATATACTCAAAGTATATAGTACACACCTTATAGTAATTTATATTATAATATAGTAACATAGTTATTTATCAAAGTGAGTATATAGTACACACCCTATAGTAATTTATATTATAATATAGTAATTTTTATTATTATATAGTAATTTACAATAATTCATATTATAATATAGTAATTTATCAAAGTGTGTGAGTATATATACACACACTTTGATAAATTACTATACACTTAATATATAAATATTGGGTTTTTTGGCCTTTGGCATTCTCATAAGATTTACCTGCCATGCACATATTTCCAAGGAGTTCCTATAGGATGCACTCCACAAAAAGAGTAACTATAACCTGAAAGAGAAAGCCAAAGGATTCAGGACACAGGGAGCTACACGCATCAGAGAGAAGAGAATTCCCAGGTGATGGTGAAGGGAGCCACCATGACAAGCCTGAGTGTCCAGAGCTCAGAGAACTACAGGGCTCCATGCATAAGTTAGAAAAGTGCCAGAAGAGGCTTCATCAAGAAGATAAAATGGCTGGGCACCACAGCGCACGCCTAAAATCCCAGCGGCTTGGGAGGCTGAGGTAGGAGGACCACAAATTCAAAGCCAGCCTCAATAGCTTAGTGAGTCCCAAAGCAACTTGGCAAGACCCTGTCTCAAAAAGTTAAAAAAAGGACTGGGGGTGTGGATCAGTAGGTAAGCACTGCTGGGTTCAATCCCTGGTACTAAAAAGAAAAAGAAGATAGAATTGACAAACTGACTCTCCTGAACTCTGGTTGGCTTTACTCCCAGAATGGCTGCTTGCTGACCGTATAAACTTGAGCCAACTGTTTCATTCTGAGGCTCAGCCTTCTCTTCTATAAAATGGGAATGACAGCCACTCACAGGTCTATGGTGAAGATGAGAACAGTGGGACACAGGAAGCTCTAAATGTGCTGCTCTTGATGTTAGCTAATAAATCAATTTATGAGAAGGATATCCACACACTTGGAGGAAAATCTGTCGATATATTTACATAAAATTATTTGGTCAATACATAAAATCATTCAGTCCAGTTAAAAACAAAATGTTGTGCAGAACAAAAATCATCACATTATACACAGACAGCTGTCGAAGCAGGTTAGATAGTCATAACCAGGGAAGATGGATCTGACCAGAAGTGATCCCACGTCTTAGAGGCGTGGGCATGGCAAGCATGCATTTGCATGCTGGGGACGGGAGGGTGTGAGAGACATTAGTCCAAACCCAAGAACCTGCGAGGCGGCAAGGTGAGCATGTCACTAAGATTAGGAGGCATGGGCATTAGCCCCCTGTGGTCCACTCTCACAAATACTGAGTTCAGGATCCGCTGTTCCCTGCTGCAGATCTGGACAGCTGCTCCAGGGCAGCTCTGCTTACCTCACAAGATCTGTGCTGCTCCTCTGGGCCCAGGACCTGGGGCTTCTGGGGTAAGTGCACACCAGCTGGCATCCCTCCTGGACTTCTACTCTTGGTTTCTCTTGCTAGCAGCTCCACTTTCCTCAGAAGCTGGAAGCTGGGTGGGCACCAGAGGCTCCAACCAGAGCCACTGGGGAGAGACAGGTGGACAGCAAAGAGAATTCCTGCAGTCTGGACGACTCAGCCTAACCCAGAGGCTCCACAGACACCAGGAAACCCTGGAAAGGCAACGACTGTGTGGTCACTCATCCAACGGTTGCCCCACAGAACTGGAGGGCCCTAACATGAAGGTTACCGTGTAGACACTGCAGAGAAAACAAAGCCCAACTGTAGTTATTAGGGAAAAAAAGGCTATGAGCTGAGACTGAACTTGAAGGACTCTTGTAGCTGGGCCACCTTAACTGTGAGAAGAGGAAGATTACCAACTACCAATCACTGACCTTGCCACGTCCATAGGGTCTGGGGGATACACCAGCCCTGACCCACCCATCCATCTCCAAAGGACCCCAATGCGGGCTGCCCGGAAAGCAACGCAGTCGCTCTGGCAAACGCCCATCTGCAATCCTCCAGCCGGCTCCCAAGGGGCACCCTTGGCACCCGACTCTACTGGCGCCCTGGGTGGACTAGGAGGCACCTTGACCTCTGGCCCCTGGAGCACCCGGCCCCCCACCCAGCTCTGTCTACATGGGGGCCCAGCAGGACGGCACTGTCCTCCAGTGCCACCACTAGGCGCTCTGACGACGCACGCGCTCCGTCCTCCAAGGACATCAGAGTATTCCTGGAAATCAAGCTACGAAAAGTGTGTGTGAGTGAGTGTGTGTGTGTGTGTGTGTGTGTGTGTGTGTAACCCCGCAGGGCCGTCACTCAGCCCCGTCCCTGGCCGGACACGCCCAGCCGCACGACGCCGGCCCGCCCCTCTCAGCCCACGGCCTCGTCTTCACCCAGCTCAGAACCCCCGCATCGCTGACCCCAAGCCGACTTCCCCTCACCGACTCCAAAGAATCCCCACTACAGATATGGCAAATCACCTCGGCGTCCCGCCACTGGTGTAGCCCCCTACGGTCTAAACGGAAGTGCGTTCTTCGAAACTTCCGGCTTGCCACCCTTCGCGTCGGGATGGCCTTACACAAGTTGCGAGATAGGCGCATGCCCACTAGCACCCCCGAAGCTACGTCTGCCAATGGTTATCAGGGCTGACAGCGTGGGTGGGTGGGTCGTTAGCGGCTCTGTAGAAACTGTCATGGCCGCGCCCATAGGATTATGATACCGGAGGCCACCATCAAAGAACTCCCATTCCGTACAGCCAGGGAAGGCAAGTGGAATGTCAAAGAGTTAAACTCTTGGGCTGTCACAGGATGGCAGAAGACTTATTCCAATACTCGCGTGGGTGATATATATATATATATATATAATCACACACACACACTGTATATATATGTGATACATATGTATATATAATAAATTACGTGTGTGTGTGTGTGTGTGTGTGTGTGTGTCTGTGTCTCTGTGTGTCTGTGTGTATCAGTCCGTTGCAGGTCAGGAACCGGGTTCATGTTCCCCAGTGTTGAAGATTCAACAGAGCAAAGCCTAGACAAGCGTAGAGAATAAGTTTTATTTAAGAAAGTGATAGAAATAGACTTCTTCAAAGAAAAGTAGGGCTTCAGAGCCAAGAGCCCGTGAGAAGATGTGCAACTAGCTTTTTTATGTTATACCAAAACCGAATATTACACGGAGACCCTCGAATAACTCCCAGACCACACAGTTTTATGCCAATAGAGCCTTTATTGCTGGCCAGCGGCAGACACTCTACTCTCTATAAGCGAGATGGTCAGAGTGTCACGCCTGCCTTCAGGTGGCCTCATATTTAAACCAAAACAACACAAAAGGGACATTTGGGTTTTTAGCCAATGTAAGCAAGCAAGTACAGAAGCTGAATTGGGCAGTTAACGAGACAATGCAGTGGGTAAATTGGTATTTCCCACAGGACTTTCCAGGTTGGCAAAGAAGCAAGCAAGCAGAAAGGAAGTGGGTCAAAATGACCCTATTTGAGTACAAGTTAGAGAACGTCTAGATGATTAATCTCTGACAAGGCTTCATTGCCCAAGAAATATAGAAAGCAAAGAGAACAATTTTACATTGTATAAGAATTTCTAGGTAACTATTAATTTGGGTACAGAGATTGGGCTTTCCCACGGGAGAAGCATTTCTTACATGATATGGAGTCTCAGGGTAAATGGAATCTGTTTGGTCATTGCCTAGCCTGGCCCATAACATATAGACCCTAGAATCCCCTTTTTACTGTCTTCTCTTTCTTCCCTGCATACATTTCCAAGAGCAGTGGTGCAGAGGATAGTTGTTAGCAATCGATTTTCTCTCTTTGCCTACCAGTCCTCATCCACTGGGACCTCATCCTTCATCACCTACACTGACTGCCTGACCTTCACCCCTGCCTCCTTTTGCTGAGGAATGTGACATCACCTGTCCACTTCGGCCAGTCAGGGCTGCAGGAAGATTGCTTTTAGGCCAAAAAGAAAGCAGGTGGGGTGAGCACAGTGGGCTCATTTTGTAGAATTATCCTCTTAGTCTTGTGTTCCCACCATCTTCTCTGTCTCCTAACTTACACACACACACATGCATGTAATATATTCATATGTATAATATATAATATATGCGCATATATTTCTTAGAGAAACTGGTGTGTATTCTGAAAAAAAAAAACTTTTCTCTGTATTTTTCACACTAATTAAAAGGCTTTTTTAATTTTTCTTCTTCTGAATTACTAAAAATTGAAAATCATGTGGGCTGTTGGAAAATGGGAAGTAGAGCCCAGGGAGGATCGAAAAGGTGAACAACTAAAGTGAACTTTCTTATACATAATGATTTGGAAGCAGTGAAGCCAGATCAGACAGGCAGTCAGTTTAGGCAGGTAAATCGAGTCAGGTGGGATCAAGGAGGCCAATTTTGAGTGAGTCCAGGAAGTTGGAGACTGTCTCCTGAGGGTTTGAAATGTGAATTCCTTCAGCCCTTCCTCCACCCTTATCAAGAACCTGCCCCTGCTCCAACCTGCTGCTAAGGTCACCTGTCCCAGGAGTGGCCCTGCCTACGGGGAGCTATAAGGTTGTTAATCAATGTGTCCTGGGCGGCACCATCCTGCCCTCCCCCCTTCAGCCCACCTGGTGCCCACCTTTTGGCCATCCCTCTGAGCATTTCCTAGGCCAAGTCACATAAGTAGGAAGGAGAAAGTTAAGAGGAAGAGGGCAGGAGAACAAAGGAAGCCAAAGACCTATAGAAACAGAACACCTGTGGCTTCTGGGGATGCCAGGATACCAGCTGTGGCCTCCTCCTCCCTCCCAGGAGAAGTCTATGTTACCCCTTTTTCAAATAAACCCTGATTTATATGCTTGCCTCCAGGTGGTTCTCCAATGTTATACTTCATCACGTGAGGAAGCAGGACTCGTCACCAATAACCGGCGCTACCAGCAGTTCATGGTCACCAAAGGACTAAGCTCCAGTCTCACTTATATAGAGAAAAAAAGGGGGAGGAGGAGTGAAATATATAGAAACAGTAGAACAGGAGTGTGAAGGGCAGAAAACAGGGAGAGTCAGGTTAAAAGGTAAAAGCATGCACTTACATAGGAAGAGGAGTTATGCAGAATGAATAAGTCCATAGCCCTAACAGTGGAGGACCAAAGTGGATAATACTGAATCTATGAGTTTGCAGAAGCTGTTCATCTGGAGAGCAGGTGCAGGAAGGAGCAGATCCTGGACTTGCTGTCCCTGAAGCCAGTTTGATCCTCCCTCTGAGAGTGGACCACAGGGGTCTATTGCCCCTACACCTCCTTGTCTTTCAGTAACATGCTCATCTTGCTGCCTCTCAGGTTCTTGGGTTGAGACCGGTGCATCACTCACTCCCATCCCCGGCACATGCCCATGCCTCCAAGAGCGAGTCCATTTCTGACCAGATCCATCTTCCCTGTTACATGACTGACTGAACTACATAGGGCTGCCCATATACACTGCGATGACTTTTCTTCTCTTGCACAGCTTTTAACTTTTCTCAGGAGTGAATAATTACATGTGTCAGCTATTCATTTATCTGTCTGTATACAGGTTCATTTTACCTTACCAGAAATGCTTGGGACAAAAAGTGTTCTGGATTTCTGATTTTTTCAGACTTTGGAGTACTTGCATAGACATAATGAGATATCTTTCTAAACGTGAAATTCATTTATGTTTCCGATACACCTTAAATACATGGCCTGAAGATAATTTTACATAACAATTTGAGCATGCCTGTGTCACCAGCTGTTCATGGGTTGCATGTGGGTCACCATTCTTGGATGCCTCGTGGATAGAGATACCTGGTGTCTGGGAATAACCAGTGGACATTTCCTCTGGTCAGTTGCCCAGGGACAATGTGAATCTCTTTCCTACTCTGCTTTGGCCCACACAGCACCTGAGATGGGTGTAACCTGCCAAGATGTCAATCAACCTGCTGACTGCAAGATATCATGAAGCAAGATTCTGCCCTTGAAACCTTACCCCTGCCTTTGATGGACCCCCTTAAATAAACCACGGGAGCCATTTTCCCTTTGTCTAGTTCCAGAGCCCATGTGGACTAGATCTGTCAGGGGCTTCACTTCCTGTAAATATATTTCTGAGTATTTGTGCTTTGTTATTCACTAATCATCTGAGATTGTAAGTTTTCGAGTGGCTTGGATTCCCCCGGGCAGAAAGAACCCCACAAAGAGATGCTGGCCATCATCCTTTCCCCTAGAAATTCCTGCATTTTTTTCATTTTTAAAAAATAATTTCGTGATTTTTTTCTTTTGTTAGTGCTTTGCAGTTGTACCTAGGAGTTGGGCTCATTCTGACAAAAACATCATGAATGGGATTTGATTTACTCCATTTCAGTACTGCCCCCTTCTTTCCTCCCCTCCTCCCCTCCTATTCTCCTTCCTCTACGCTCTTGCATTTTGACTGCAACAATGCGAAGTAAGGGACAGAATTTTCCCCTTGTGGCATCATATTGATACTCAACATGTTTTGGATTTTGGAGCACTAAAGATTTCAGAGTTTCAGATGAGGGGAGCTCAACCTGTACTTATTAGCATATTGCCAGATTTCCCTCCCATTGTGTGGCTATTCTTCTAAAAACCTGGCTTTATTATTAACTAACATCAACAGTAGCAATGACTGCACTCATTTAGAGCTGCCTGTGTCCCAGGCACTGTTCTGTTCTTCACAACAGACCCATGAGCTGCGATTATGACCCCTGTTTTACAGAAGAGAAGCCCGAGGCACAGAATGAAACAACTGACCCAAGTTCCTGCAGCCAGCAGGCAGCCAGCCTCAGGGCAAACCAGCCAGTCTGCTGTGGATGGTCCCACCACTCCATCTTCTTAAGGAGATGAGGTCAGAACCCTCATGATCCAATCACTTCTCAAAGCCCCACCACTGAATATTGCTGCACTGGGGACCACACCTTCAACACGTGAGCCTTCAGGGGACATCCAGATCCAAACCCTAACACCAGCATTGAAAGATGATCGTAGGATGTGTATCCATACGTGTGATATGTGTGTGTACATGTATACGTATATAGATATTTATACATTATCTGGTCATATATTTCTCAATCAAGGAGAAAGAGAGACAAATTGCCAGTAAGAAGAATGCAAGAGAAGATTCCACTGTGACTCCTACAAATATTAAAGGGTAATAAGGGGAAAATATAAATAACCCCACGTGAATTCATTAGATAGGTAGAGAAAACAAATATTTTTGAAGGAAAAATAAAAGTTTAATGATCTGAGAAGAATTACTGAGAGAAATGAATATATTTGTATGTAAACATATATATTTACCTAGGTATGCAGAACATATATATTTACATATTTTCTTAGATGGATATCTCCTATGATCAGGAATTGGAAGACTTAATATAGGTAAGGCACACGTTTTCCCCAAATTAGGTTACAAATTCACAGCAATCCCAAACAAACTCTCAGCAAGAGGTCTTACAGAAATTGGCAAGCTAATTCTAAATTTTATGGACAAGCAAAAAAAAAACGAGAAAATGTTAAACAATATCCAATAATGTACCCATTAAAGGAGAATCCTTCAAGTCCCTGATTCCCATCACTTCCTCCTTAGCCCTCACCTACACAGATGGAAAATGTTTTCCAAATTCAGAAGCAGGAGTTATTTCTAACAGACCCTGTTGGCTCCCAGGGGTCCATTGCTCCCAGCCTGACAGGCAGTCTCCATTCCTGTCTCTAGAGACCAGCAGGCCCAGCCGAGAGTCCAAGGAGCAAATCCCCAGGGGCAGAAGGGGCTGGCAGTTCTGGGAAGATGACCAGGCAAGGCAGTGGATGTGAGAGTGAGTCCTGGCTCATCTCGGCCCAGAAAGTCTCCAAGCAGCGCCCAGTGTGTGTGGCGTCCACAGACTGTGCACCTCCTCACGCGCGGGGGTCCAGGTCACATCCCTTCTGCAGATTCCTTCCCAAGAGCTCAGGCTCCACCTCGGAAAGAGAAGCCCCAGCCTCTGCACATGTATCCCCCACAGCGGAGCCTTCTAACAACCCGCCCAGCTCAGCACTGGACACTGAGGACAGCGTCCAGTTCTGTCAAATTCACTTCTTCCCAGAGGAGAGAAGGACTCACATCCAAGCCTTTGCAAGAATGAATAAAACACAAGAGCCAGAAATAAAACGTGAGGGCTCACAGGGTTGACGGGAAAGACTGCAAAACTCAAAAGCTTCTGCACACCAAGGAAATGATCAACGGGGCCAACGCCCGCAGGAACCTGGAAAGTGCACGCCAGTCACTCTGACAAAGGACTGATGTCCGGAATCTATAAGCACTCACAAAAACTTTAAAAAACAAGTAATCTAATTGAAAAAAATGCAAATGATCTGAATTGGCAGTTCTTTAAAAAGAAATACAAGTGGCCAACAAATATATGAAAAAATGTTCAATAACATTAGCCATGGTAATAGTTAAAATAGATGTTATTTAAAAACAACAACAAAAATAACAAATGGTGGTGAGAATGTGGATAAAAAGGAACTCTCATATGCTGTTGGTGAGAATCTCAACGCTACTATGAAGAACAATATGGGCTTCCTCAAAAACAACTAAAAATAGACCGACCATGTGACCAGTTAGGCCACTTCCAGGTGTCTAGCCAAAGGAAATGATATCAGCATACCAAAAAGATGCCCACACACCCATTTTTTTATTGCAACAGTATTTGCAATAGAGCTAAGATATGGAATTAACCAGGGTGATCATCCATGGATGAGTGAACTTAAAAATGTGTGTATATTCACCATGCAATAGTATTTAGCCACAAAAAATGAAATCCTGTATTTGCAGACAAACGGAAGACATTACGTTAAGTGAAATAACAGATGCAGAAAGGCAAGTACTGGATATTCTCTCTCCTATGTGGGAGTTTAAAAACAGTAGTCAACCTAAATGTAGAGTAGTGGTAACTAGTGGTTGGAGCAGGAGGAGCAGTGTGGGGATGATGGAAGACTGGATTTGACTAGTGCACACTGTAGGCATGTATTAAATGTCGCAAAACCCCACTAACATACCCAATATATGATCATCAAAAATTACAGATGGCAAATGATACAGGCAAGCACTAAACAGAGTGTAGATGGTGCCCCTATCTACTATCAGATGAATGAGTTTTTAGTGCAAAGTACATTTCTACTAGATAACAAAGTAAACTTCATAGAGATCAAAGATTTCATACAAAAGAAAAGTATAAAATTTCTTTTTTTAAGTATTTTTTAGTTGTAGTTGACACAACACCTTTACTTTATTTATTTACTTTTATGTGATGCTGAGGATCGAACCCAGGGCCTCGCACGTGCTAGGCAAGCACTCTACCACTGAGCCACAACCCCAGCCCCCAAAGTATAAAATTTCTAAACTTCTACACGTGCCCAAATAGTCTTCAAATGCACAAAACACAAATATTCAGTTTTAGCTCCTTTCCCCAGAAGCTTTGGGTGCCTGGGAACTTAGCATCAGGCCCTAGACGGTGACTCCTTGGGGACTGTCCAGGTCTGCTGTGTGTAGGGAGGATGTGTGCACTGCCCAGAGGCTGACACCACACTGGCTGTTCCTGACCCTGAGTCTCATGCCTCATTCCAAGAACAGCGAGGGCCTCAGGAGTCGTTCAAGAGTCTGGTTAGAGAGGAGCCATTTCACACTGCAGAAAATGTCACCCAAGGGGAAGGATGTCAACAGGGAGGGAGGAGATGGGGTGTTCTGGGAGGGTCCCTGCTATCTCTGTCCTCGGGGCTACAGGGTGGTGGTGGGGGCTGCTCTCCAAGGGCGGAGGCCACCCTGGTCCAGGCGGGCTGATGTTCCTCCTCTAGAAGGTCACCATCCCTCCTTGTCCCCTTCCTGTGGGGCTCCTCCCTGTCTTGTAGCTGTTAACTTTACAGAGAGGAGCTCTGGGGAGCAGACTTCCCCTGTGGCCCCAGAGACATGCTGCTGCTGCTGCTGCTGCTGCCCCTGCTGCGGGGCTGTGGGCGGGTGGAGGGCCAGGGGCGTTATGCCCAGCCGGGTTACACCCTTAACGTGCCCAAGGAGGTGACAGTGCAGGAGGGCCTGTGTGTCCATGTGCCCTGCCAATTCTTCTATCCCTGGAGCAGCTGGACTAACTGGAACCCAGTTCATGGCTACTGGTTCCATGTACGGGACAGGAAAGAGGATGCTCTAGTGGCCACCAATAACCCTGGCCACAAAGTGCGGGAGGAGACCCAGGGCCGGTTCCAGCTCCTTGGGGACCCAACAACCCACAACTGCTCCCTGAGCATCAGAGACGCCAGGAAGACGGACGCGGGGTCCTACTATTTTCGGGTGGAGAGAGATCACTTGAGATACAGTTACCTATATGTCATGGTCTCAGTGAATGTGACAGGTAAGGCACCGGCTTCAAGGCAGTCTCAGGAGGTTACGAGGCAGCAGGGCAGGGCTGGGTGGGACCCTGAAAGGTTGGGGACCAATCATAGGGGCTCAGGGAGCAGCTGGGTCAGAGCCTGAGCTTCTCTCAGGG